ATGTGGACCAATGCTCTAACTGTTGAACCAAACTGGCCAGGGCAACATAAAAATTCTTTTTTTTTTTTTAATCTTCACCTGAGGACATTTTTTCCCCATTTTTTGTTCAGATAGAGTGGGAGGGAGAAAGAGGAAGAGAGAGAGAAACATCGACAGGAAAGGGACACGTCGAGTGGCTGCCACCCGCACGACCAACCATGGCCAGGGACAAACTGCAACCGAGGGACATGCCCCTAGTGAGACCCGAACCCAGGTCTCTCTGATTTGCAGGCCAATGCTCGAACCACTGAGCCAAACCGGCCAGGGCAACAGAAAAATTCTTAACAAAATATCAGTAAATTGAATTCAACAACATATAAAAAAAGTATTATACACCACGACTAAATGGGGTCATTACAGGAACACAAGACTAGCTTAACATTTGAAAATCAAGTAATGTAATATACCATTTATACATATCTTAGAGGATTCTTTTTTTTTTTATCCTCACCAGAGGATATTTTTCCATTTTTTGTACAGATAGAGTGGGAGGGAGAGAGAGGAAGGGAGAGAGAGAGAGAAACATCGACGTGAAGGGACACATCGAGTGGCTGCCACCCGCACGACCAACCAGGGCCGGGGACAAACTGCAACCGAAGTACGTGCCCTTAGCGGGAACCGAAACCGGGTCTCTCCGGACCGCAGGCTGACTCTCTAACCGCTGAGCCAAACTGGCCAGGGCTCTTAGAGGATTCTTTTTTTTTTTTTCCATTTTTTGTACAGATAGAGTGGGAGGAAGAGGGAGGAAGGGAGAGAGAGAGAGAAACATCGACGTGAAGGGACACATCGAGTGGCTGCCACCCGCACGACCAACCAGGGCCGGGGACAAACTGCAACCGAAGTACGTGCCCTTAGCGGGAACCAAACCCAGGTCTCTCCAGACCGCAGGCCGACGCTCTTAGAGGATTCTTAATAAAGGTTGTGTATGTGTGTGTGTGTGTGTGTGTGTGTGTATCTTTTTTTTAAACCCTCACCTGAGGATATTTTTCCATTTATCTTCAGAAAGAATGTGAGGGAGGGAGGGAGAGAGGGAAGAAGGGAGAGAGAAGAGAGAAACATCAATGTGAGGGAGACACATTGATTGGTTGCCCTCCGCACGACCTGGACCAGGGCCAGGGACCAAACCACAACCGAAGTGTGTGCCCTTGACCAGAATCAAATCCGAGACTCTTTGGTCTTCAGGCAGACGCTCTAACCACTAAGGCAAACTGGCCAGGGCTATCTGTATTATTTATTTATTTATTTTTTTAATCCTCACCCGAGGACATTTTTGCATTTTTTGTTCAGACAGAGCGGGAGGGAAAGAGAGGAAGAGAGAGAGAGAGAAACATCGATGTGAAGGGACACATCGAGTGGTTGCCACCCGCACGACCAACCAGGGCCGGGGACAAACTGCAACCGAGGTACGTGCCCTTAGCGGGAACCGAACCCGGGTCTCTCTGTACCGCAGGCCGACGCTCTAACCGCTGAGCCAAACCGGCCAGGGCTATCTGTATTATTTTTAAGACATCAAATTGCTATTGTATTTAGCTTTGTATTTATTTTTAGAAAATCAATATTTACAATGTCAGAAATTATGTCCTTAACTTTTTTAAATTAAATGTTTAAACTACTTAAATTTATGATGAAAATTTTCAGATGCCAACTTAAAAGTAAGTGATACATAGATTTCCCAATGTTTTGGACATGTTTAAGCAAAAATATTTTAAGACCACACTGACCCGGAATATGCGTGACATGACATCAGGAAAAAGAATCACTCATGCCAAAGCAACTACACCATATCTTCAGACAGCCAATAAAAAAAATTACTTTTTTATAATTTGACAAATTACAACTCTTTTTTGTTGTTGTTCATATAGAGCGGGAGGGAGAGAGAGGAAGAGAGAGAGAGAGAGAGAAACATCGATGTGAAGGGACACATCAAGTGGCTGCCACCTGCACGACCAACCAGGGCCAGGGACAAACTGCAACTGAGGCACATGCCCTTAGTGGGAACCGAACCCGGGTCTCTCTGTACCGCAGGCCGACGCTCCAACCGCTGAGCCAAACCAGCCAGGGCAAATTACAACTCTTTTTAATGTCTAACCTCAAAATTAATTTATTCTTGTAGATACCCTCACCTAAATCTAAAATTCCAGGTGTAAGCCAACAAGTGCTGGGGTCAAGTAATGCAACAACCTTCCCTGATCTTACATTTTCCTAATGCAATCTAATACTGCAGGTCACACCAGTTCTTCTCACAAGCTAACCAAACCACTGATTCAGATTAATAAGATTCCACATCTTTTTATACACGAGTCCTTCATAAATCACATCCCTACCTTAACTGGTATAACTGAATTTTTTGGACTTAAGTGAAATTTCCCACGTTTAATAACCCTTCCATTTCATTAAGTTGCACTGGACAAATCTTGAGATTAACCAGGAGATACTTTCTCTCTTTACTTCATCAAGGCCACAAATTTGCTAAGCATACCTTCCAGATAAGGCTTCAAAGACATACTGTGTATGAAGAAAATGACAGAGCCTCATTCAGATCACCAGATCCCAGTGGCGTTGTGTCCATAAATCAAACCCCTCAAGACACGGATACTCAAAGTCATGACTCCATTTACTTTTACCACATTCTGGCAAATTCCCCCATCTCATCCGCTGGGTCATCATAAAAGATTTTACAAATGCCTTGCTAAAAGTGACACTATCACTATGGATATTATATCCACTCGGAGCTACAAATTTGGATGTACTGTTCTGTTACTCTACTGATTAACAAAAATGACACATTTTCCACTTTGTATTAATTACAGAATCTCAGGAATCATAAATATTTTCTAGTTCAATGTTATTCAAACTATAGGTCTTTAGCAGTCAGAGTCAATTTAGTGAGTTACAATCAACTTTTTTTCTTTTAATGAAATGTTAAAGGCATCATATGTAGAAAGGGTAAACTTCTGTATTGTGTGTGTACACACACTTTATGCATGCAGGAAGCAAAATGACTCATGATGTAATATGTATCTAATGGTGGGTCAAGGTCAAAAAAGTTTGAGAGACACTGCTAGTCCCACCACCCTACCCTCACTTTCAAGCTCCACCAAAAAATTCTTAGTAATAAAAAAGTTGTTATTTATAACCATCTTCACTCCATACAAGAAATCCTCACCGGAGGACGTTTTTGCATTTATATTCATATAGAGCGGGGAGGGGAGGGGGGGGCATCGATGTGAGAGAGACACATCCACTGGTTGCCACCTACACGACCCAACCAGGGCGGGGACAAACTGCAACCAAGGTACGTGCCCTAGCAGGAACGGAACTGGGAGTCTCTGGTCCACAGGCTGATGCTCTAACTGCTGAGCCAAACCAGCCAGGGCTACAAATAGGAATTTTGTGCTCAGCATACCTAATCTGCTACTCATTAAAAAAAGATTAACCCTGGCCGGTTTGGCTCAGCAATAGAGCATTGGCCCGCAGACCAAAGAGTCTCGGGTTCGATTCTGGTCAAGGGCACGTACCTTGGTCACGGTTCAGCCCCAGCCCTGGTCAGGGTTGTGCAGGAGGCAGCCAGTTGATGTGTCCCTCTCACTTCAATGTTTCTCCCTCTTTCCTTCTCTCTCCCTCCCACTCTATCTGAAGATAGACAGAAATATATCCTCAGGTGAAGATTAAAAAAAAAGAACACTGAAAAAAAGATTAGATTCCATCCGGTTTCCAGAAATATAGTCCTGCTCAGACGACAGTCACTTATGTTTTGATGGGATTAAGACCAATATAGACAGGTAGCAGAATGAAATCACTTTAGTCTGTGTCTAGGAAAGAGAAAAAACCATTCTGGGTCCCAAATTCCTCATCTGTTACCATGGGAGAGGATTGTTAGGATTCCAGCTAGCTCTCGAATTGGGAGATGTATTGAAAACCAACTGGCCAAGTAGGCAAGGGCTATGCCTCCCTCACAGCAAAACACTTCAACCACTTACAAATCAAGTATTGATATATCTAATCAATATCTCAGAAACAGGCCCGCATGTGTGAGGCAGTGGATTGCGCCTATCCTGGTTTGATTCTGTCAGGGCACATGTCACGGTTGCAGGCTACACCCCAACAGGAGGCATGCAGGAGGCAGGCCATCTGATGGATGTCTCTCTCTCACATCGATGCTTCTATCTCTCTCTCTAATAAATCAATAAAAACATATTTTTTAAAAAATCACACAGCCCAGCTAGTGTGGCGCAGTGGTTGAGTCTCCACCCATGCACCAAGAGGTCAGGGCACATGCCCAGGTTGTGGGCCCAATCCCCAGTGGGGAGCATGCAGGAGGAGGCCAATGGATGTTCTCTCTCATCCATGTTTCTATTTCTCTCTCCCTCTACCTTCCTCTCTCTAAAAATCAGTAAAGAAAAAAAATTTTGTTTTTTAATCACACAAAGTGTACTGATGAGCTCAGCCTTACACCAACAGCAGGAAAGAATCAACAGGAAGGTCCCAGGATTCAGCAGAAGCTGGGCCCTGGCAGGTAATTTCTCAGCCACCTTTCCCTTCCAGACCCCAGTTCATCTCTGTCCTCAAGCTATCAGTCATGGTTGTGGCACTCGCGCTCTTTCCTGCCACCACACCCTACTCTGTTGTGCAAAAGGAAACTGAGGCACGAAGTAATGAGTGGGCGACCTGCAGCAGCCATCAACAAGGCTAAAACAAGGGCCTTGGGACGCTTAAAGCCACACACCTCCATTCCGAGACTGTTTAGAATCCCCGGTCCCTGGCCTCCCACCTCAAACCACGCCCCCGAAGCAACCCTAGTACCAGGCCTTCTGCACGCCCGACGCAGCCTCGAGCACGTGCGCCTCTATAAAAGTCTACGAGGCCTGGAACCTCGAAGCCTAAAAGCAAACCTGCCTGGCAACCTCCAGAAGCCCTCTCCCACCAACACCCACAAACCAGCCGCCGCCCCTTGCTCCCACCTCCAAGCCGTCGGGCCCGCGCCTCTTTCGCACACCACGCCAATCGGCCCAACCACGAGAGGAAACCCAGACACCGAAGGGCTGGTCCAACCCACCCCCACAATCGCGGCTGCCGGAAGTGCCCTGCGTCTCCACGTCCCCGTCCTGAAGTCACTTCCTGCGCGACGCCTTGGAAACCGGAGGACAGGTTGTTGAGGGGCGGGGCGCCCGGGAAATTTAAGAGTTTGGGAACCCGCCGCGAGGGTCGAGGTGTTACTTTCCCCGACTACTTATATCGGGTGGAGTTCTGGTTGGAGTTGGGGTCTTTACCGACCTCTCCGTCCCAGGCATCTGGGGAGCTATGTTTTTTCTTGCAACCTTGATGACAAACTTCGGCTTTCCCTCCAGTCCCCCTTTTGCTAATCTCTGAGCAAGAGCAGAGAACTATGGGGACGAGGAGTGGTGGCGTGGGCCCCACCCTTGGTAAGTTGTAGCCGTGGGACGCTATAAGTAGTCCCCCCCGGTTGGATTAAAGGAAGTAAGTTTCCTTCGTGGTGGATCTTCAGAGTTTATCCCATTCAGCTCATTTGGGGGTTAGTGTCAGCCAATCTGGGCTTGGCTGTCTCCTCCCCACCCCTCACCCCCCGCATCCGTTCCCAGTACGTACTCGTTACAAGAGAAAATGCCACACACACACGCCCCATGGCATTTTAGTTTTGGTAGTCTTGATTTTTGTAAAGCGCAGGCGTTTAGGGCCAACACTGAATGTTATGAGGAATTTTAGAGGTTAAAATTTACAAGGTCATCCTGAAGCCTGACACCTGGTTTGAAAACCACTGCTTGAGCACGCAGCATCAAGTAGTGCAGTTGCTCCAAACCTGGCTCTTCAAAATCAGTTGAGCAACTTAATGAAATTTCCATTGTCCAGGGACTCGCCCCTCTTCCTCATCACCAGATATATTCAGTTTTAGTAGGTCTGGAGGGGCCCTGGCGTCTATTATATTAAAGGTTCCCTCTAGTCCTGAGCACACTGGTTTGGGGTCCACTGGTGCATCAACCACAGAGTTGAATCCTGAGTTGAACTTATTACAAACAAGTTATGCAATTCGAGATAAACTGGAGATAATAGCTAACAGAGTTGCTGTGAGGATAAATGAGATAATGTGTACCTGAACATGGTTGATATTCCCAAAATGATTGGCCATGGGTTGTTGGTTGTTGGGGCTGGGTGATAGTATATAGGGCTTTATTATGCTATTATCCTGTCCACGTTTGTGTATGTTCAAAAGCCACCATGATAAAAGAAGGTTTTTCTAAGTAACAAATATTTAAACACAATTAGTTGGCCTTACCAAGGCCAATGCAGCCTCATTTGGTGTGTTAATACAGCTCAAATAATATTAGGTATGAAATGTTTAAAATAGGAACACCTTAAGCTATGTAGCAGCCAGGGCTAAGTTCAACATTACACTGAAAGTTTGTTTGTTTATGGCATATGTGTGAGGCATTCTGGAATCAAATTTAACAATGCTGCCCAGTCAGTATAGCTCAGTGGATTGAGCACTGTCCCATGGACTGAGGTCCAGGTTCAATTCTGGGTCAAGACACATGCCCAGGTTGTGGGCCCAGTCCCCAGTTGGGGGCACACAGGAGGCAGCCAGTTGATGTTCTCTATCATCGATGTTTTTCTCTCTCTCTCCCCCTATCCCTTCCTTTCTCTCTAGAATCAATAAAGAAAAAATATTTAAAAAAATTTTAAACAGCCCTGGCCAGTTTGGCTCAGTGGTTGAGCAGCCTGGTTCAGTTCCCGCTAGGGGCATGTACCACACACACAAAAAAAATTAAACAATGTTATAATAATAAACTATGACAGCAAATTATAACTACAAATAAGTAAACATAATTAGTAAGGAAAGTAAAAGAAAGAGATTCATAGATTTTATTTATTTATTTTTTGTTAGTGTCTTTTTTTTTTTTTTACTTTTTTTTATTATTTAATTTTTGTTACAGATGTTTCTCCCCCCCCCACACTGTTTACCCCTCCCCCCCTGCACTGTCCCCAGCTTAGTTGTCCATGTCCATTGTTCATGCATACATGCATATAAGTTCTGTGGTTTATCTCGCCCCCACCACCCCCTCTTCTGGGGATTGTCAGTCTGTACTTCACTTCCATGTCTCTGGGACTACCCCATTCCTCAGACTGTTATGTTCATTATATTTCACAAATAAGTAAGATCATATGTGATACTTGTCTTTCTCGCTTTGGCTTGTTTCACTTAGGATGATGCTTTCCAGGTCCCTCCATGTAGTCTCAAAGGATAAGAGATCTTTCTTTCTTACAGCTGCATAGTACTCCATTGTGTATATGTACCACTGCTTTTTTATCCATTCGTCTACTGATGGACACTTGGGCTGTTTCCAGATCTTAGCTATTGTAAATAGTGCTGCTACAAATACAGGGGTACATATATTCCTTCTGATTGGTGTTTCAGGCTTCTTAGGGTATATTCCTAGAAGTGGGATCACTGGGTCAAATGGAAGTTCAATTTTTAATTTTTTGAGGTAACACCATATTGTTTTCCATAGTGGCTGCACCAGTCTGCATTCCCACCAGCAGTGTACTAGAGTCCCCTTTTCTCCACACCCTCACCAACACTTGTTGTTTGATGATTTGTTGATGGCGGCCATTCTGACAGGTGTAAGGTGATACCTCATTGTTGTTTTAATTTGCATCTCTCTGATGATTAGTGATGTTGAGCATTTCTTCGTATGTCTCTTAGCCATTTGTATGTCCTGTTTGGAGAGGTGTCTATTTAGTTCCTCTGCCCATTTTTTAATTGGGTTCTTTGTCTTCCTTTTATGGAGTTGTATGAGCACTCTATATATATTGGAAATTAACCCCTTATCCGATATATCATTGGCAGTTATGGTCTCCCATACAGTGGGTAGCCTTTCCGTTTTGATGATTGTATCTTTCGCTGTGCAGAAGCTTTTGAGTTTGATGTAGTCCCATGTGTTCATTTTCTCCTTTGTTTCTATTGCCTTAGGTGATGTGTCAGTAAAAATTCTGCTGCGTATGATATCTGAAATTTTGTTGCCTACAGTCTCTTCTAGGATTTTTATGGATTCAGGAGTTACATTTAAGTCTTTTATCAATTTTGAGTTTATTCTTGTGTAGGGTGTAAGTTGATGGTCTAGTTTCATTTTTCTGCAAGTAGCTGTCCAATTTTCCCAGCACCATTTATGAAAGAGGCTGTCCTTACTCCACTGTATGCTCTTGCCACCTTTGTCAAATATTAATTGAGCATATTGCCTTGGGTCCATGTTCTGTTCCACTGGTCTATATGCCTGTTCTTGTGCTAGTACCAGGCTGTTTTGATTACAGTGGCTTTGTAGTATAACCTGAAATCTGGTAATGTGATCCCTCCAACTTTGTTCTTCTTTTTCAAGATTGCTGTGGCTATTCGAGGTCTTTTTTGGTTCCATATGAATTTTTGAAGTACTTGTTCTAATTCTGTGAAGTATGCCGTTGGTATTTTGATGGGGATTGCATTGAATCTGTAGATTGCTTTGGGTAATATGGACATTTTAATGATGTTAATTCTTCCAATCTATGAACAGGGTATGTGCTTCCACTTTTTTATATCTTCCTCTATTTCTTTTTTCAATGACATGTAGTTTTCTGTGAATAGGTCCTTTATTTCTTTGGTTAAGTTTATTCCTAGGTATCTTAATTTTTTTGCCACAATGGTGAATGGGATTGTTTTCTTAGTTTCTCTTTCTGTGAGTTCATCATTGGTGTATAAGAATGCCATCGAGCCCTGGCCCGTTTGGCTCAGTGGTTGGAGCGCCGGCCTGCAGTCCGGAGAGACCCGGGTTTGGTTCCCGCTAAGGGCACGTACCTCGGTTGCAGTTTGTCCCTGGCCCTGGTTGGTCGTGAGGGTGGCAGCCACTCAATGTGTCCCTTCATATCGATGTTTCTCTCTCTCTCTCTTCCTCTCTCTCCCTCCCGCTCTATCTGAACAAAAAATGGAAAAATGTTCTCGGGTGAGGATAAAAAAAAAAAAAAAAGAATGCCATCGATTTCTTGACGTTAATTTTGTATCCTGCTACATTTCCAAATTCACTTATTAAGTCTAGTAAATTTTTGATGGAGTCTTTGGTGTTTTCTACGTATAGTATCATGTCATCTGCAGATAATGACAGTTTCACTTCCTCCTTTCCAATTTGGATCCCTTTTATTTTTGCTTCTAGTCTGATTGCTGTGGCTAAGACTTCCAGTACTATGTTAAATACGAGTGGCGAAAGTGGACATCCCTGTCTTGTTCCTGTTCTTAAGGGAAATGCTTTTAGTTTCTTCCCCTTTGAGTATGATGTTGGCTATAGGTCTTTCATATATGGCCTTTATTATGTCGAGATATGATCCCTGTATTCCCACATTGCTGAGCGTTTTTATCAGAAATGGATTCTGGCTTTTGTCACAGGCTTTTTCGGCATCTATTGATATGATCATGTGGTTTTTATTATTCATTTTATTTATGTAGTGTATCACGTTTATTGATTTGCGAATATTGTACCAGCCTTGCATCCCTGGGATGAATCCCACTTGGTCATGGTGGATAATTTTTTTGGTGTATTGCTGGATCTGATTTGCTAGTATTTTGTTCAGGATTTTGGCATCTTTGTTCATCAGGGATATTGGCCTGTAGTTTTCTTTCTTTGTAGTGTCTTTTTCTGGTTTTGGAATTAGAATTATGCTGGCTTCAAAAAACGAATTTGGAAGTCTTCCTTCTTCTTGAATTTTTGAAATAGTTTGAGGAGAATGGGTGTTAGTACTTCTTTGAATGTTTGGTAAAACTTCCCCGTGAAGCCTTCCAGGCCTGGGCTTTTGTTTGGTGGGAGAGTCTTGATTACCTCTTCAATTTCTTCCGTTGTTATTGGTCTGTTCAAGTTTTCTATCTCTTCCTGGTCCAGTTTTGGGAGAATATGTGTTTCTAGAAATTTGTCCGTTTCGCTTAGATTGTCGAATTTGTTGCCAT